GTCATTTGTGTGTACATTTTTCCCTCCTCGTGTGTGTGTGTGTGTGTGTGTGTGTGTGTGTGTGTGTGTGTGTGTGTGTGTGTGTGTGTGTGTGTGTGTGTGTGTGTGTGTGTGTTGTGTGTGTGTTGTGTGTGTGTTGTGTGTGTTGTGTGTGTGTGTGTGTGTGTGTGTGTGTGTGTGTGTGTGTGTGTGTGTGTGTGTGTGTGTGTGTGTGTGTGTGTGTGTGTGTGTGTGTGTGTGTGTGTGTGTGTTCAGGATCATGTGATGTGTGTCAGCTGTGGTTGTGGGAACCCAGCTCAGGCCTCCAGATGTGTGACCTGTGAGAGCCGCCTGCAGCCGGTAACACACTCTACTGTCTGTAGATCATTATCTATTTTCAACATCATTAATGAGCTTACTGTCTGAGGCTCAGGTGATCAGCCAGGTGAAGTCTGACAGTGTGCGTCTGAATCAGAAATCATCTATCCGTCCCACAGCGAGAACATTTACAGATTTACAGCAAAGGCAAAATAAGTACACTAACATATAATAAAGGGGCGGCAAGCACATGTTGATTACATCCAATTAGTACATAGTACAAATGAGCAGCATGATTATACCGTGACTCAGAGTTCATACTCTCAGAGACTCAGAGTTCATACTCTCCATGACGGAGGGACTGCTGTTGACCTTTAATGAGTTTATTGTAATTAAGTGTAACCTACTGTGTTGCAGGCGGTGTGTGTGGGCAGCAGCGCCCCCTCTGGCAGGATGTTGAGCTGCTCTCGGTGTAAACGGTTGAACCGCTCTGACGCCAGATTCTGCGACTGGTGCGGCTCCAAGGTGAAAAGACTCATGAATCACATATCTTTGACATACTCTAAAACTATTGGAACAGCGAGGCCAATTGCTTTATTTTGGCTGTACACTGAAAACATTGGGTTTGACATCAAAAGATGAATATGAGACCAGAGATCAGTATTTCAGATTAATACCAGGTATTTACATCTAGATTTGTCAAAGAACTGAGAACGTAGTTTTTAACGGACACCAGATTTTAGGTGAGCAAAAGTATATGAACAGAGACTTCAAACGGTGTGAAACATGAACAATAATCCATAGTTAGTTGCAAACCGTTTGCTTGCAATAACATAATAATAATAATTCCAATAGTTTTGGAAAGGACTGTACATAAGTCATAGTGCTAAGCTAGTTCTGAGAGTGAAGCATTGTGGGAGATGTAGTGTGTGTGTGTGTGTGTGTGTGTGTGTGGTTGCAGGGTCATGCAGTCAGCTGTGTGTTGTGTTGGCGCTGTGGAGCGAGTGCCCCCCCGAACGCCTCGTACTGCCCCGCCTGCAGCACCTTCCTTCAGGCTCCGCCCCCCCGAACATCCCGTAGTGACATCACAACGCCTGTCGAGGGCTTCAAGGCCAAACAGGTAGCTGCCCCCCCACATCATGCTAATGCACAACACAGTATTTCATTTCATTTTGATTTGTTCCGTTCATGGTGTGCACAACTTAATGTATAACAATTATTTACAGAACATGTCTCTATAAACACACCGTACCCCAAAAGGAGCAGGGAGAAGAAAATAATCTGATATGACCGGCCCCTTTCTCAACAAAAATAATGAATAAATAGAAATAGATGGTCTGTCCTTCATATTTACTCATCCACAGCCAATCATAACAGTATCGTAGAAAAATAAGAGAAACACAAAAACGTACAAAACATACTTAGTTCCCACTTGACAGTTAACGGAAAGAAACTAAACTAAACAACAACAACAACAACGAACATCACATGAACAAGGAAAAGTGGAACATCTGAGTCCTGCTGGAGTCAAAGGGGGAAAGCGGCGCACAATAATAACAATAATAATAACAATAATAACAATAATAATAACAATAATAATAATAATAATAATAATAATAATAATAATGGGACCTGCAAATAAAGAACAGACATCACAAATATTTACCAATGCAGGACCACGGCACATGAACTTATTCACATTCCGCTTCATATAGTCCTATTTTTCTTAATTTATACAAGTTCTGTAACTGAACAATACCTCTACAATTCTTCAGATCATTCTGTAGAGAACTCCACAGCTTTACACCAACCACCGAAATACACATTTGTATGAACAGTTAACGTGACGCTCTCTGCCTGCAGGCTTCAGCACCGACTTCCCATGATGCAACCTTGCTCTCCAAAGGCCCCGCCCCCCGCAAAAAGATGGCCCCGCCCACTGCTGAGTGCTCCACTCAGACTGTTGGACTCTATTACCCATCAGCCACCGAGCTGCAGAGGAAGGAGCAACAGAGAGAGAAACGCAGCAAAACAAACGCAGAGCGGCAACCGGCGAGCGCCGTCAGCCCGGGGAGAGGTGAGGACTACAAAACTACAGAACTACAAAACTACAGAACTACAAAACTACAGAACTACAAAACTACAGAACTACAAGACTACAAAACTACAGAACTACAAAACTACAAAACTACAGAACTACAAAACTACAAAACCACAAGACTACAAAACTACAGAACTACAAAACTACAAAACTACAGAACTACATAACTACAAAACTACAAGACTACAAAACTATAGAACTACAAAACTATAGAACTACAAGACTACAGAACTACAAAACTACAAAACCACAAGACTACAAAACTACAGAACTACAGAACTACAAAACTACAGAACTATAGAACTACATAACTACAAAACTACAGACCTACAGAACTATAGAACTACAGAACTACAAAACTACAGAACTATAGAACTACAGAACTACAAAACTACAGAACTACAAAACTATAGAACTACAAGACTATAGAACTACAAAACTACAAAACCACAAGACTACAAAACTACAGAACTACAAAACTACAGAACTATAGAACTACATAACTACAGAACTACAAAACTACAGAACTACAAAACTACAGAACTACAAAACTACAAAACTACAGAACTATAGAACTACAAGACTACAAAACTACAAAACTGTAGAACTACAAGACTACAGAACTACAAAACTACAAAACCACAAGACTACAAAACTACAGAACTACAAAACTACAGAACTACAAACGAGCGACGACAAAGAGAAAGCTGTCTTGTTGTCCTCAGGTTAGTTCTGTAGTTTTGTAGTTCTGTAGTTTTGTAGTCTTGTGGTTTTGTAGTTTNGAGAGGAGAGAGGAGGACAGGGGAGAGAAGGACATGTGAGAGGAGGACAGGTGAGAGGAGAGAGGAGGACAGGTGAGAGGAGGACAGGTGAGAGGAGAGAGGAGGACAGGTGAGAGGAGGACAGGTGAGAGAAGAGAGGAGGAGAGGAGGACAGGTGAGAGGAGGACAGGTGAGAGAAGAGAGGAGGAGAGGAGGACAGGAGAGAGGAGACAGGTGAGAGGAGGACAGGTGAGAGGAGAGAGGAGGACAGGTGAGAGGAGGACAGGTGAGAGGAGAGAGGAGGACAGGTGAGAGGAGGACAGGTGAGAGGAGAGAGGAGGACAGGTGAGAGGAGGACAGGTGAGAGGAGAGAGGAGGACAGGTGAGAGGAGGACAGGTGAGAGGAGGGACAGGGGGACAGGAGAGAGGAGGACAGGTGAGAGGAGAGAGGAGGACAGGTGAGAGGAGAGAGGAGGACAGGTGAGAGGAGGACAGGTGAGAGGAGAGAGGAGGACAGGTGAGAGGAGGACAGGTGAGAGGAGAGAGGAGGACAGGTGAGAGGAGGACAGGTGAGAGAAGGACATGTGAGAGGAGGACAGGTGAGAGGAGGAGAGGAGGACAGGTGACAGGTGAGAGGAGGACAGGTGAGAGGAGAGAGGAGGACAGGTGAGAGGAGGACAGGTGAGAGAAGGACATGTGAGAGGAGGACAGGTGAGAGGAGTGAGGAGGACAGGTGAGGAGAGGTGAGGAGAGGAGAGGGGAGGACAGGTGAGAGGAGAGAGGAGGACAGGTGAGAGGAGGACAGGTGAGAGGAGTGAGGAGGACAGGTGAGGAGAGGTGAGGAGAGGAGAGGGGAGGAGAGGGGAGGAGAGGGGAGGAGAGGTGAGCAGAGGAGAGGGGAGGAGAGGAGAGGGGAGGGGAGGTGAGGACAGGTGAGAGGAAGACAGGTGAGAGGAAGACAGGTGAGAGGAGGACAGGTGAGAGGAGGACAGGTGAGAGAAGGACAGGTGAGAGAAGGACAGCTGTGAGGAGGACATGTGGTACAGGTGTGGCACAGGTGTGGCACAGGTGTGGCACAGGTGTGGTTCAGGTGTGGTACAGGTGTGGTACAGGTTTGGCACAGGTGTGGCACAGGTGTGGTACAGGTGTGGTACAGGTGTGGCACAGGTGTGGTACAGGTGTTGTACAGGTGTGGGAAAGGTGTTGTACAGGTGTGGCACAGGTGTGGTACAGGTGTGGTACAGGTGTGGTACAGGTGTGGCACAGATGTGGTACAGGTGTTGTACAGGTGAGGTACAGGTGAGCTGAAGTTACCCGGCCGAGGCGAGGTTCTCCCAGCAGTGTCCTGAAGGAGG